TGGTATACAGATCTTTACGTGTAGAATCCACATGTGCAAAGAAGGGACTGCAGCGGGCACTAGTATCTGCATTCATACATCAGTATATAAAGTTTTTCCCATCAAGATTTTCCGTAACAAAGCTAACAATAGGAACGTTAGTGGCCAAGGTAAATTTCTTCTGATTTGTTCTAATATACATCCCCGTCTTCCACATATTTGAACATCACTTTTAAAAATTAATGTTGTGTTGTTGCGAAAAGCCGAATAATAATCGCGTCTCCAAGCTAGGTTTGGATTTTATTGCTTTCAGTTAAAAATAGGTCAAAATTAGGAAAACTTTTTTAAAAACGTTTAATTAAGAATACACAACCAGTTTAGCCCTAAAATCCCCTTTAGGTAAGCATTAGTGTTAAACATATTTTAAAAACTATTTTATCTTAAAAGATTATTATTGCACAACAGTTGCTTTCAATTATCACTCTTAAATATAAAACAATTTCCTATAACCTTTTAAAATTAAACTCATCAAATGGTTTTTCATTCTTCTCAATGAAATTCTATATCAATTCTTATCTGCATCTTATAGATAGTTGTATTAGACACGCGCCTAAATTTTTTTTGCGGCATTTAAGTGACACTTTTCATTATTATAACAATTGTAGATGAAGAGTAGAAAAAGGTGAATCTTTTTTAAATTTCTATTTTTTGTGACTGTTTTCTTATGTGGGCTTAAAACCTTTTTATATTTTATTAATTTCTTATCAATTTAGTTTTTTTTCCCCTAATTGTTTATAAAATGCCGCCTTCTCAATGCTTTCGTTTGTGGTGTCTGTTTTTTTTTTCGTTTTTGTAAAACCCATAAACCCACTCTTAAATTTTTATGACCAAAATTTTTTTCTTCAGTTTTAATTTTAAGGTTTTTTTCTCTGTGTTGGGTTTTTATACATTAAAATTTTGTTTTATAATTTATTAGTTTTGTAACGTGTTAAACTGTCATTAAAGGCTAGCTGTCATTTAATTATTTTCATTATTATATTGTTCATTTAATTTCAAAATAATAAAAATTTTATAATAATGTGTGAAAATAGTTTTAAGGAGGAGTAGTTAAGAATAAAAATTGTGGGTCGTTTTCTTATTTTGCGATATCGTAAAAATATGTTGAAACTTCCTAGAAAATTTTCGTTTTTAATTCAAATTTGTTGAAATATTGGGGTTAAATTTATGTGGAAAATGGGCGGTCTAGAATCAGTGGGCGTGGCATTTATCATATTAATCAAATAATAAAATTTGTTTTTCTAAGAAATTATTATAGCTAAGTCGTCACGTTAAACTTTGACATCGATATGAACAGTTAGGGTAAAAATGGGCGAACTAACAATAGTGGGCGTGGCATCTCTTATATAAATTAAACACTAAAATTTATATATCAGGGATACTATAACAGCTAGAGTCACCAAATTTTGCGTGAGTATGAATCGTATCGTTTGAATATAAAATATTTAAGACATGGAAGTACCAAATATAGTGGGCGTGGCATATCGCATATCGCATATGGATAAGATACTAAGATTCGAATAACAGTTACAATGCCATTATAATTAAATATATAAAATTTTTATTTATTTTTTTATAGATATTTTTTTTAAATTTAACTTTTTTCAAAATTTATCACATTTCAAAACTTCGGATAAACTTTTCTCAGAGAAATATATTTCCTTCATACAGCAGGTGTAAGGAACTTTCAGCGTTAAAAAAAAACTGTATTGCTTCAGAATTAATTTCTCTAGTTGTCGCTTATTTTAAGTTCATATTCTGCTTCAGATTTCAATTCACATAGAAATTATATATTTTATGGAAAAATTATAACATTCACACTTATTCACATTAATTTTTATTAAAAAAAATATATAATTTTATTCAATTCATGTTTACAATAAGCATTATTTTTTAAAACATGTTTTTGTTTAATATCTTTTTTTTTTATCATAATCAATGATAGATAATAATTCAGAGATATAAGTTATCTATTCTTGAATTTACCTTAAGATGCATTTTTGAATGTATAACAGCACTTTCACACACCATGGAACTTAATATTTGCATACAAAAAAATTAGCGATAAAAATGTATATAAAACTTTTATTTTAAATAATAATTTTTTTTAAATTTTATATTATAATTTTTTTATAAAAATAGCGCTTTCACTTCATCCGATTACAATTGTTTTATCAAAAATAATTTATACAATTTTTTTCCGTTTTATTTCCGTCAAGTTAACGCTATTGAAGACGCGACGCATTGCGCGTTTTAACACCTATTTTTGCCCAAAAACCACGGAACTGAAGAGGATCGTTAACCACTACCAACGTAATGAGACAATTGAAACCAATACTGAAACAGTGTCGTACGAAAAAAAATCTCTAACCTCAAATGCTAAATGATTGTTGGGGTTTATACGTCTGTCATGGTGTGTGAGGGTTCTTGAGACCTGTGGTTAACCAGAACAATTAAAGAGCGGGAAAATAATGAAACCTACAAAAAAACAGAAATCGGCATATGTATGTGAATTATGATTTATTTATTTATTACAAATACACTAGCAATCATCAACTAAATAACAAAAAAAATCAACGCACCTTTACCTGTACTTTGTTGCTAGATATTTTTGGTAAATGTTGCATTCATATCAACACACACAAATTCCCAGCTACAGATACATAGATATCATGATTTCGTATCTCTGTGTTAGTGTTTCTTATCTTATCGCTTGTTTTCATTCGCAGAGATAAGAAAGTACTCGCTTATACATACTATGAAATGTATATTGAAACAGTTTGGACTTATTTTGATTCTTACAAAAGTTGTGTATTTTTTTTATTCATTCTAGTCGGTAGGTTACTGCTGTTGTTGTTCTTGTTGTTGCTGTTTTAGTTATTGTTGCTGATAAGTATCGGTGTGTTACAAATTGCGCATGCGTGTTTAGTTTTACTATTAACAAAATTTTTATTTTATTTGATTTCTTTTTACGTGTATTTGTAGAGCAGTCCTCCGAACCTTTGAGTTCTTTAAAAGAAGAATTCGTTTCTAGCGGATGTCTCTGTGTGAAATAAATAAGACAAAATTCTTGGTCTTAGATCCGTGAATTCGAAAGTTTGAGTTCTCTAAAAGAAGAATTCGCTTCTATCGGATGTCTCTGTGTGAAATAAATAAGACAAAATTCTTGGTCTTAGATCCGTGAATTTCTAATGTGACCCTATTATATCGTTAGGCGAACACGATAGATCGGACAGACAGACAGACAGACTGGCTGACTGATGGCCAGGCAGACACACTGATAGACGACCTGACTGACAGACAGGCAGACAGACAGACAGACAGACAGACAGACAGACAGACAGACAGACAGACAGACAGATAGACAGACAGACAGACAGATAGATAGAGATAGATAGATAGATAGATGATAGATAGATAGATAGATAGATAGATATAGATAGATAGATAGATATACTAGATAGATAGATAGATAGATAGATAGATATATAGATAGATCGATAGATAGATAGATAGATAGCTCGATAGATAATAGATAGATAGACTCGCTCGCTCGCTCGCTCGCTCGCTCGACTCCTCGCTCGCTCGCTCGCTCGCTCGCGCTCGCTCGCTCGCTCGCTCGCTCGCTCGCTCGCTCGCTCGCTCGCTCGCTCGCTCGCTCGCTCGCTCGCTCGATCGCTCGCTCGCTCTCGCTCGCTCGCTCGCTCGCTCGCTCGCTCGCTCGCTCGTCGCTAGCTCGCTCGCTCGCTCGCTCGCTCGCTCGCTCGCTCGCTCGCTCGCTCGCTCGCTCGCTCGCTCGCTCGGTCTCTCGCTCGCTCGCTCGCTCGCTCGCTCGCTCGCTCGCTCGCTCGCTTCGCTCGCTCGCTAGCTCGCTCCTCCTCGCTCGCTCGCTCGCTCGCTCGCTCGCTCGCTCGCTCGCTCGCTCGCTCGCTCGCTCGCTCGCTCCACGTCCTCTTTTCTTCTCCTTTCCTTCTTCCCTGCCTCCCTTCCTTTCCTCTTCTGTCTCCTGCATGCATTCTACGTAACGCGACCGTGCATATGTTCCTTTTTACTAACATTCTGAATAAAAACAACAAACTAAAAGTAAAAATATAAAAACAACACTAAATTCATTTCGACAAAAAAATCATATTTGTTTATTTGTGAGCGTCGTATGTCAAATGTAGAAAAAATAAGTACAAGTCTCTGTTTTTTTAGAGCAAACAAATGTTGATGAATGGTTGTGCGGTTTTCAGATTAAATATAAATTACCTGTACTATATTTTCAATATTTCCAAATTCAAAGTTCATAAAGACCAGTTGCATTTTCATATTGAAAATAGGGTATAAATTCCAAATAATCGTGGCCACCCATTATATTACAGGGTCACTAGGATAACTTTGCCAATAAAGTTAATAATTGATGAATTTTAATTTCTAAGAAATTTTCTATTTTGTGTTTTTTTAACACAGATTTTCTTCACTGAAAAGATATGTTTGTAATTATTTTCAATTATGAAATAATCAAATTCTAAAATTAGTTAATTCTTTCGTTATATAAATTAAATATTTAATAAAAATGAAATCCTAAATTATTTAGTCTATTAATCAAATGAACAGTTGTATTGAAAATTTATTAAAAATACAATAACTAGGAACAATTAAAATATTAATTGAATACACGCAATGTTAAAGGAATAATTTACTTTTACTTATTACGTCTATAATATTATTAACTATTTAGGAATTATAAATCTTAAACAAATTAATAGAAAATATAAAAAAGCTAGAAGACAAACGAAGACTAGAAATATTTGTTCAGTCAATTAAAAAATTAATAGAATCAATTATAATTTCAATCAAATCTGTAAATTTTGTTTTAAACAACGAAATATTTAACACAAATAACAAATTATTTAAATAAGAATTAAAGAACAATCAATTCGTGTTACTTAAAACAAAGTGCTAATATTTTTTTTTTCAGAAAACTTCTGCATTTAGTAGTCTAAATAATGTCTCAGTATTTATTTATATATTGCGCAATTTATTTGGTTTCTTGTTTGTTTTCAACTTTAATTGTCATCATAAAATGAGCTCAGTATTTGATGTTACTTTGACTTTTTTTCCTTTGAATTAAATTTTGTGTTTTTCAAAGTGTTCATAGTCTAGTTAAACATTTATTATGGCAACAATAAATAAACTGGCATTAACTAGTAAATATAAATATGAGTATAAATTATTTTATACGGCCGCCGTTAGCTTAACCTGGAGTGGTAATATGATGATGTGTTCTTAGCAACAATTTTACAACACTTGTAATTAAAAGTGGGTATTTTAGTACGACACTCTTAAAAAGTAAATCGTTGTAGTCGGGTTAATAATCCCTAGAAGTAAGGAGGAATGAAATACCAGAGTGGAATTTGTATAAAGGCCATAAGTTGATACTTAAGAAAGAGGCTTCTTCAGCCGTAATATGCAAGATCAGAAACAATAACTAACTAACTAACTAACTAACTAACTAACTAACTAACTAACTAACTAACTAACTAACTAACTAACTAACTAACTAACTAACTAACTAACTAACTAACTACTAACTAACTCACTAACTAACTACCTAACTAACTAACTAACTAACTAACTAACTAACTAACTAACTAACTAACTAACTAACTAACTAACTAACTAACTAACTAACTAACTAACTAACTAACTAACTAACTAACTAACTAACTAACTAACTAACTAACTAACTAACTAACTAACTAACTAACTAACTAACTAACTAACTAACTACTAACTAACTAACTAACTAACTAACTAACTAACTACTAACTAACTAACTAACTAACTAACTAACTAACTAACTACTAACTAACTAACTAACTAACTAACTAACTAACTAACTAACTAACTAACTAACTAACTAACTAACTAACTAACTAACTAACTAACTAACTAACTAACTAACTAACTAACTAACTAACTAACTAACTAACTAACTAACTAACTAACTAACTAACTAACTAACTAACTAACTACTAACTAACTAACTAACTAACTAACTAACTAACTAACTAACTAACTAACTAACTAACTAACTAACTAACTAACTAACTAACTAACTACTAACTAACTAACTAACTAACTAACTACTAACTAACTAACTAACTAACTAACTAACTAACTAACTAACTAACTAACTAACTAACTAACTAACTAACTAACTAACTAACTACTAACTAACTAACTAACTAACTAACTACTAACTAACTAACTAACTAACTAACTAACTAACTAACTAACTAACTAACTAACTAACTAACTAACTAACTAACTAACTAACTAACTAACTAACTAACTAACTAACTAACTAACTAACTAACTAACTAACTAACTAACTAACTAACTAACTAACTAACTAACTAACTAACTAACTAACTAACTAACTAACTAACTAACTAACTAACTAACTAACTAACTAACTAACTACTAACTAACTAACTAACTAACTAACTAACTACTAACTAACTAACTAACTAACTAACTAACTAACTAACTAACTAACTAACTAACTACTAACTAACTAACTAACTAACTAACTAACTAACTAACTAACTAACTAACTAACACTACCAAATCTAACAGATTCGTTTAACATTATCATTGTCCGAAAATTTTGCAAAATAAATCGCAATAGTACATCATGGTAACGCTTCAAGACCTTATCCCATCCGGATATTATTAAAATTTTTAGGATATCTCAGATAAGTTTCTCTTTAAGACAATGTACCCGAAATTGAATTGGTTTTTTCTTGACCTCATAAGATCAGCAGTTTTTTTCAAATGTTTCAAAATCAAAATTTGAGAAAAAACCGTTCATCCAATAATCCCAAGAAATTTTAAAATATATTTGAGAAGTAGGATAATTACGTTGAAGGACATGGTTTACATTAAATTTCTGAATCTAGCTCCCTATGAATACTAAAATCAATATTTTGATGGATAATAAAAACTTTTGTTAATTTGCATTAGTTGTGAACGTTATTCTGAAACTCTGAAACTCTCTCAGATTTCGATAAAAATTTAAAGTGAAAGAAATCCGCAATAAACTTTGTAATCCAATTCCGTTGAATGACTAACTAAGCAAATGTTAAATCTGTAGAAAATCTGTCAAAACTATGTGACATTACGTAAAATTATTTTCCCAAAGGAAATCATTGTCATCTTTAATACACAATTAATTCGGTTTTAAATCTCATTAAAATATTTAATCTTAAATCTAAACTATAAAGTATGTATCCATATAATAATACATTTTGCCTTGTATTTTTCTTTTTTTTTTAATTAACTGGCAAGTTACTTTTTATCAAGTCTCTTAAATCAAATATAAAAAAATATTGTATGTTGCTTAATTTTCATAAGACTTGACTTTTGGGACAAGTGCTTAAAAAAAAATTTATTGATTTCATGGCATTCATTTCA